CCGCCACCACCACCACCGCACCACATCTTGCCATGTGGCAGCCATACTCTGGTCTTCTCCCAGGCTTGATCTTTTGTGGCCTCACTGAAGGCTGGATCAAGCCCAAATTGACTTATGATGATAAAATAATGACTCGTAGGCAGTGAGCCGTTCTCTCCATACAAAGACAGCTCCCATGGGACTCTCATCTTTAAAAAATCATTCTGCCAAACTTGCAGGATACTTAGGGGAGGGGGTAGTTGTGTGTGTGTGTGTGTGTGTGTGTGTGTGTGTGTTGCAGTTCAGAGATCTCACCTCAGGGCCTTGAACATGCTAGGGTAGTGCTTTGCCACTGCCTGCAGCCAAGCCCAAGAGATATTCCTAATTTTCATTTTCTTGGTTGGTCATGGGGCTTGAACTCAGGGCTTGAGCACTGTTGTTGAGCTCCTTTGCTCAAGGCTAGTGCTCTACCACTTAAGCCCACAGCTCCACTTCTGGATTTTTGGTGTTTTCATTAGAGATAAGACTCTCATAGACTTTGCTGCCCCACTGGCTTTGAACAACAATCCTCACATCTCAGCCTCCTGAGTAGGTAGGATTACAGGCATGAGCCACCAGCACCTGGCTGATATTCCTAATTTTAAAAGCAAACATACTTGGTAAGATATGGTAGTCTACTGGTTTATTTCATAGAACCTATGGGCTCTATTTGTGTGTGTGTGTGTGTGTGTGTGTGTGTATGCCAGTACTGGGGCCTGAACTTGGGGCCTTGCACTCTTGCTTAGCTTTTTTGCTCAAAGCCAGGGCACTACCACTTGAGCCACATCCCTACTGCCAGCTTTTTATTGATTAACTAGGGATAAGAGTCTTGTACACTTCTGCCCAGGCTGTCCTGGAACTGCTTCAGATCTCAGTCTCTTGAGTAGCTAGGATTACAGGCGTGAGCCACCAATGCTTGGCTCTGTGGGTGTTATTGCTAGATTGTCCCCTCCTAAGGCCGAGACTGTCATGTCAGCCTCAGTGACAGAACACGTGGGTAGTACCAAAACACAGATCACGCCACGAAAGCAGGTGAGGACCAGGCAGTCCAGGATCAGTCTGAACAGCACCAAGGCCACAGGGCCATGGGCTCCTAAAGGAAGGTCAGAGGAGGTGAATGGCCAAGCTGCTGGGAGGTCAGGAAGTGAACCCAAAGACAAAATCACCCCGGATGATGTGGATTACCTGGATATAGAGACTGGCACTCTCTTTCCTGTCTAGGCTAGGTAAGATGAGCGGCAGAGAGAACATGATGGAGATGGCAGCATTGACCAGGTCCAGCTTCTGGGATAAGTTGAAAGGTGGATTCACCTGGCTGGGGAGAGACAGAACCCCAGGGCCTGTGAGAGGGGGGGCTGTGTTTTTGCAGGAAACAGTGGGAGCCTTCCCCGCCCTGGATGTTCTGATAGACTCCCAGTAGTGAAATGAGCATAGCCCCCTTCCCAGCACGCAGGCAGATAAACCACAGGGAAGCCATGGAGCCTGGCCGCATGCAGCTCCAAAATCAAGTTCCCAAGCCTGGCCCTTTCTCCCAACCCAGTCTAAATGTTCTTGTCATTCACCTCCCTCCCCCTGCCGCCCCCCACTCCCTTCCTAGGCCATGAGAAGATCACAGTAGGAAGGAACCTCAGGGCCACAGTGCACAACATGGCTTGCTGAAGAATGTTGCTGTCCAAACTCGAAGTGGATTCTTCCAGGATTAATGTCTAAAAGGGCCAGGAAGAAATGAGAAGTCCCTTCAGAGAGAAACGTCAGCCTTGATTGTCACCCATTTTCCTGGAGGATCAACTCGTGTCTTTCCCACCTCAATTTTCTTGGTGAGGATGGTCTGGGGATAGTAATCATTCATGCAGCCATTTGGTTGGGAGTGTACAGCACCACTTAAGGTCTCCACAGCCCTGAGAAAACTCAGCTTGTCCATTTGGGACTAGGACAGAACACAGAGACTTCTGCTGATGAGATGATCCCAGGCCCTAAGCTAGTCCCCGAGCAGTGTCTCAGGCCAGCACCCTGAACTCTGTCCGTTACACACATCCCAGATTCAGCCAATTGGGCTGTTTCAGTTCCTTTATGTCTCTTAGTACCCTGGACAGTGCTCTCCAGTATCCTGAAGCCCTCTGAGCCCTCTGGGGATCTATCAGGAAGGAAGACCCCCCCTCCCGCCACCCAGATGAGAATGGAGCCGTAAGACCTGAGGCGCAGCCACCAGTCTTGATGCCCTGGCTGCCTGTGTCCCCCCAGACTGGACACCAATAACACTGAATAAATAGCAGGTGGCTTCCAAGCCCAGAGATGATCCTTGAAACGCAAAGAAACATTTTTCCTCCTCAGCTCTCAGAAACCCAAAGAACTCTCTTACCATGTCTTTTTGGTCTATAAATTGCAGAATTAACTCATAGGCTTCTATCTCTGACTGGCGCAGACCTGCAAAGGGATGTCATCCAGGAGAGTTTAGGTGATTTGATCAGATGGCCTAGGAAGGCAGAATCTGTTTACTCTGTTCCCCCCTTTACTCTCCCCCCTTTACTTCCCCCCCCCAGGCCCCTGCCATCGTGAAGGCTCAGAAACCACCAGGGAGCAGGGTGGATGTTTGGGTGTCCAGAACCAACTCCTTCTGGTGTGGGTATGCACAGTGCCATTTGGATGACCTTCAGAAACCAAAGTGTGCTGGGTAGCACGCCTGTAACCCTAGCAACTCAGGAGGCTGAGATCTGAAGATCGCAGTTCAAAGCCAATCCCCAGCAGGTAAGTTCTGTGAGATACATCTGTAGTTAACCACCCAAAATCTAGAAATAGAACTAGACTCAAGCAGCAGGGAGCCAGCTTTGAGCCAAAAAGCTAAGGGACAGTGACTAGGCCCTGAGATCAAGCTCTAGGAACCAGCACACACGCACACACACCCTGAAATTTAGGAACAGTAGATCTGAACTACAAGTGCCAATTAGAGAGGTTTGTTGGCATTTAGGTGGCATCTGAAGATGTGCTCTGAATTTCCTGAAGTGCTTGTGGTCAGTGAAGTAAACTTTCCCGGTCTCAGGCTCTGTCCTGTCATGGCCCAGCTCCAGCCCACTCAGGTATGGGACTGGCTCGCAGAGACCACTGTGGGGAAGGGGCAGTCACAAGGGAACGGACTTGAGCTCACAAAATAACATCTCAAGTGAGAACCTGCACACAAGCACCACTTCTGAGCTGCTGTAATTAGATGAGAGCCCAGCCTGGGGCCAACTGCTCACCCAGAAGGCTTGATTGCAAAAGATCCTGGGGACTTGGTGACTTAAAGTTTATTTGCTTGTTCAGAGGTAGATTCATTTGTACATCTGAAACAGCAGCCTGAATCTTGGAGAAGAGCAGCCAGACCTGGTGGGAGTTGGGCCTTCTGAGAGCTGTAGCGTCTGCAATCAAAGGGGGAAATATTGGATGCTAGGTGCCTATGGCTCAGGCTTGTAGCTAACCCTAGCTACTCAGGAGGCTGAGATCTGAAGATCAAGACTTGAAGCCAGTTTGATCAGGAAAGCCCATGAGACTCCAATTAATCAGTAGTCAGAAGCAGAGGTGTGACTCAAGAACTAGGACATCAGCCTCCAGTGAAAGAGACAAGCAAGGGCTTGAGGTCCTCAGTTCAAGCCTCAGTACTAACAGCTGTGGGTGCGTGTACACACACACACACACACACACACACACACACACCACGTGAGTGCAGGGAGGGGGCACCTGGCCACTTACATAAAAAGAATGGAGCTGGGGTTTGTAGGTTAGTGGTAGAACTATTGCTTAGTGAGTACTTGGGCCTTGGGTTCAAGCCTCAGCACAAATGAATACATAAATTAATAATAAATTAATAACTAAGCTGTAAGAAAAGCCATCGGCTGAGCAGTGCCCAGGCTTTGAGCCTCTGTCATCTTGTCATTGGTGGAAAGATGCCGGACCCTCACAAGGAGGCCGGGTCTTCCTGATTCACCCTGCAGTCTCTTACTAGGGCAGATTTCCCCCTGCATGTGGGACATCTGAGACTCGGGCTAGCCCCAGGGCGCCCCTCTGAGGGCGCAGTAGCTCCCCCCCAGCACTGGGGCTCGCACTCAGGGCCTTGTGCTTCCGCTCGGCCTCATCCCTCACAGCTGGTGCTTTACCACCTGACCTTCGCCTTCTGCCCAGCCTTTTTCTTCCGGTTAGTCTGAGGACTTCTGGCTGCAGACCCCACCGCAGGGATTGCTGACAGGCCATCAGGACTCCCCTCAGCCCAGCTCGGGGCCATTGTCCCGGCTGGCCTGCCAACTAAACAAAACCCCACAAAGCACGCCCCTCACCCGCAAGGCCCAGCGACCCTGGGACGCGGTCGGCATCCGGCCCGGCCGGCGCCTCACACCAGGCCCCGAAGCCCGGTCCGGCTCCTCACTCCCGCCCGGACCCTCTGTCCTGGCCGTGGACACGGACAGCGGGCGGGGACCCCCCCACCCCGGACCTCCTGCCCCGTACCTGACGGCCACACAGCGCCCCTCAGGCGCGGGCTCCCGGCTCCCCGGGGTTCTGGAGCCTCCAGGGGGCGCTGCGGCTCCCCGGGGCGCCGCACGCGAGCGCCCCCTGCAGGGCGAGCGCGCCACCCTGAGGGGCTGGGCACCGCACATGCGCACTCACACGCTCTAACCTCAGCTGGGCCAATCACAAAGAACGGACTTTATTGAAGTTTTTGGCACAAAGACCTCACCTAGTTCCAGTCCTGCAGCCGAGGGCCGGCCACTCTGCCATGGCAATAAGTTAATGTGGAGGATGTTCAGGTGTGTTGGGGGTGGGGGGAAGGAAGGAGCCAGGGCTCAGCAAATGAATGTCCTATCGAAGTAGGGGCGAGTGGACCCCAAGGGGGGGCCTACTGCAGTTTGTGACAGGCACACAGCGAAAGAGCATGTGTCCCTCGTTGTTCTGTACCCAGTGCCACGGGCCAACATGGAGAAGGGCACCACGTTCTTGCAGCCTTCTGTGAGGTTCTCAGTCCCAGGATCCTGCAGGGGAAGAGTTCTACGCAGGCAAAACTGGAATGCAGCTCTCTCAAACTGGGCATCAGAGAGGTCTTCGGTGGAGATGCCGGTCTCAGTGCGGGCAGCTAGCTTGCAGGCTTGCCCGGCCTCAACAGCTGGGTAATCCCTGAATGCCCTTTATGACAAGATAGCACGGCAGGACTCAGGAAAGAGCATTCCCAGTGTGTACAAATAAGGATTCTTCTCACAGCAGAGACAAGCATGGCTGGGCAGGGAACAGAAGGGCGGTAACCACCTCCTCCCACCCCAGACACGCCACAAAAGTGGTGCCTTCCCCCCAAATATTTGCCACGTGATGGTTTCTAGAACGATGAGAAATGATCTCAGAGGGAGGGCTGGGTCAGCCAGCCTCCAGCCTGGGGGCTTTCAAGTGACAATTTTCTGCAGACCCAAACGGGCTTGCAGCTTGGAAACCCAAGGGTGTGGAGCGAGAATAGTGACTGGAGCCTCTAACGGGATTTATGGGCCCCCAAAATAGCAGGGTTCAGGAAGACAAGACTCTACCAGGGTACTCTGACCTTTAACCTACCACTTGGTGTGCATCACAGAGCACATATAAGCAGGGCAGCAGGGAGGAAAGTCTCCTGCGGTCTATGGTATCAAGAGACCTGGGAAATGGAGGGGAGTGTGTGCCTCACTCAGCCCCAACAACAAGGGAAGAGAAGGGCCAGGAGCTTTCTCAGACTCAGCAGAGTGTCCAACAACCTTTCTCTGCTACCTGTCTTGGATAAGGACACTTGTCTTGTATAAGGACACTTATAAGGTTGTCAGTAAAACCAGCAAAGCCCTAAGTCCAAAGAGGCTAGACTCTGGGGGATTGAGTAGAATCCCATCATAAGAACTTGAGGACAAATCACAGATATAAATCCATATATATATATATATATATATGGAAAGAAGGAAGAGGGAGGGAACACATAGATAGTGGAAGATGAAAACAATATCTCCAGCTCCAGGTCATCGGCCTGCGATGGGGTGAGGGAGCCGAAGGAGGCACTTATGGGTGAGGGGGGGTCTCAGCCCCAGCTCCAGCCTCGCTCTCAAAGTCTTTCCCAGCAGCAGCTGAGGCGTCCAACAGTTACACTTGGCTGATGATTTCTCCATTTTCAGGGACAAAGACTTGCACAGGAGCCCCCTCGGGCGATCTCCGGAGCACACACACGGTGGGCACCTGCCAGGGGGGAGAAGAAGGGAGACCGTGGGTGAGCAAACCAGGGTACTTGTCATCCTTGTCCCTTGAAGACACAGACAGGCGGCAGGGGTAGCAGCGGTGGTGACAGGGCCCTGGCACTCAGCTCCCGCCCTCCCTCCCATGCTTATGTTTCTAGGGATCATCCCTTATGCCCTGTCTCTCCAGGTTCTTTCAGTTGATGGACAGACGCTGACCTCCTCCTTCCCTACCTTCCTGCCGCTCACATCTCAGGATCTGCCCTGTCTAGCAGGTTGGGATGAGCTAGATCTGGGCCAAGGACAGGTCTAAGCTCGCAGGAAGGGAAAAGCACGTCAGCTAGAGGGTGAGGCCTGGGACAGAGCCAGGGAACTGCCCGGCTGGGCACGGCAGCTGCAGCCTAAAAGCTTGTGAGGGGGGGAAGGAGAGGGGAGGATACAGCTGGGTTGCTGGGAGCCTGGGGCGTCAAAGGAGCAGCCTGTGGTGACTTCTGGAGTGCGTCCCCAGCAGAGCTCTCTGCACCAGGAAGGAAAAGAAAGGAAGTAATTCATGCATGCTATTGCCATGAATGAAGAAACGAGGGCCAGTGGCAGAGTGCTCTAAATCCTAGATATACTGCATCAAGCCGGTCTGCAGGGGCCTGGATGGGGATACTGGCAGTAATCTGACCTTGGGTTTGTACTGCTAATCATTTCAGTCTCTTATCTGCCCACACACTACTCCCACATCTCAGCAGGGAAACAGAAGCCCAAAGGAGTTGAGTACACTGCCTAACCCTGCATCTGGTAACTAACAGGGCTAGAATTTGAACCTGGTAGTCTCGCTTGAGAGCTCATAGTCTTTGATAGGAGTCCTTGCCTCTCAGCTTAGTGTGGTGGAGGAATGTCAAGAAGAAGGGATGGGTGGCTCACGTCTATAATCCTAGCTACTCAGGAGGCTGAGATCTGAGGATCACAATTCAAAGTCTGCCTGGGCAGGAAAGTCTATGAGACTCCTATGGCCAATTAACTATCAAAATACTGGAAGTAGAGCTGTGGCTCCAAGTGGTAGAAGGCTAGCCTTGAGCACAAAAGCTCAGGGACAGTGCCCGGGTCTTGAGTTCAAGCTCTAGCAAAGACAAAAACAAAACAAAAACAAAAACAAAAAAAAACAGAGGACAGGGTGCTGGTGGCTCACACTTGTAATCGTAGCTACTCAGGGGGCTGAGATCTGAGGATTGTGCTTCAAAGCCAGCCTAGGCAGGAAAATCCGTTGAGACTCTGCTTTCCAATAAACCACTAGAAAACCGGACAGAGCCCAGGCCACACAACCGACCAAAAAAAAAGGAAGGAGAAAGAGGAGGAAGAGGAGAAGAAAGAGAAGAAGGAAGAATCAACAGGCTGACACATGTTCTGATTTCTGCAAATCCCATTTCTAAACTTTCCCTCTGCCCGGGCCCTCAAGTCAGGTTAATTTCAGGGGTTCATTTCCATC